CCGCATTTTATATTCCCATTAAGGGACAGGTCCATACAAATATCCAGATGACTGTCCGGGGACTTGCCTTGGTCATCATAATTGGCCTTCCTTCCTGCAGCGGAAGAATCCACCACAGGAGTCTCAGGGCCGGGGACTCCTGTATTCGAGGCTCCCTCTTTAGCGACTTTGTCCATAAGGACGTACTTTTATATACCAATTTCTACTCGTTCCAATCGTAATCCAAATCGAATCCAAAATACATGCCGGGTCGTTACCGGGTATCCATCCTGCTGTCACCATCGGCAGTTCCCGGGCTATCCGGCCTCGGTGAGCTCCTGCAACTAACACCGTATTCATTTCGTTTTTATAACCAAGTCGACCGCGATAGCACTCTTCCAAGTTTCGGCGACACACCGGTTTCCCTCTTCCACCGGCGTATCGCTTTCCCTCTTTCGAATGCCACTGGCGTATCGCTTGGCCGTCTGCCAATGGTATCTCCAGCGTATCGCTTTCGCCACCGCTAGGGACACTTTAACTTCCTGATACCTCTTGGAATGAAATTTTTTAACGAATAAATGGCATACCTGCCCCGCTGGTCTGGGCCGGTCTTTTAGCACGTCCATAAAATAAATAAATTATAAGCACGTGCGTGCCATGAGGTACGATGTACCTTATTCTCTCCACCGAGGCGAGAGTCGCGACAGTGACTGCCGACGGGTCCGTGTCATCGGCTGTCGCGTTACGTCCGTCCGTTCGTTCGGTCGTGGCGCAAGTTCGTCCGTAGAGTAAAACCCTATACCTCGGCTAAGGTGGGGTCGCCGCTCCTCGCTGCCCTACCTTAAAACCTGTGCCGGTAGACTTCCGTGAATACACCCTTACATTGGGGTTAACAATAATAATTAAAAACTAAATAACAAATGCTTGAATGTCGTCGGGCCTACTTCCTAACGAAGCTGCCACGGGATCTGCCCGCGAGTTTGGAAAAATTAGGAACGGAGACCCTTTCGGGTGGCGATCTTAGCCGTACTGAGTTGTGCGTTGTTACGGAGTACTGCGTGAAGTTGTCGCCCCGTGCTCTGTATTCACAGAGCCCGCTCCGCGCCCGACTAAGCAATAGGATAGCGAGGACTCGCACCGTTCGGTATAGAAAGCCAAGCGGGCTAAAATTTCTTATCAGCTGGCAGCTGCCTCGTTTATTATTCAAAATTTTGTCATAGCCGTAAAGCTGTGTCAATCTTTAAAATTCGTGCACTGGCCCATAGTGCCTGGTCGTTTTGTAACATTTGTGGTCGTTTGAGCCCGAAGATAGTCAAAATAAATAAATAATAATAAATAAATTAATGTGTAAAATAATAAAATCAAAAATAAATAAATAAATAGGTAATAAATAAATATGTTGGTGTTTCTTATTTAATTTTTATAATCGTAATCGATAAAGGCATTCGCAATTTCAATAGACGCACGGAGGGCAATCATTGCGACTGTCGTCATGTCGCTTTTGTTGAACCCTAGGGCTTTAAGATTGCGTTTGGTGTCGGGAGGCATGGCTCCTCGACACCCTATCACTATTGGTAATACTTTTGCGTTTATGCTGTTCAATTTTGCTTTTATGAATTCCGCAGTGTCCCTATATTTCTGCTCTTTCTCCCTGTAGACACGTCTGAGGTTATCTTTATCCTCGTAGCGAACTGTGACGTCCACTACGAGGACCCCCTCCTGATCTTTGATAACCAGATCTAGGTTCTTTAACTCTCCCAGAACGTTGACTACAGGTTCAGTGAACACTACGAACGTTTTTGACGCTTTCTGTGCAATCAAATTAACAATTTCATTATGCCTCTTTATTCTGGTTGGTTTCGTATAAAGGTATATGCCGAGTATGTGCCCTAGGTTTTCGACTTGTAGTTTGCACCTTCGGCACATTGGGTCTCTGTCCTTTTTCCCTCTCCTTATTGCAACCTTCGTGCCGAAGGTGTTAGTTCTTAACTTAATAGCGTCCAGATATCTTGGCGTCTTTAGGAATTCGTGGTTATACAGCCAGGCGTTTCCTATTCTATCCCCTGCGAACTCGTGGACGCCGTGTCCTTGTGAAGTTAATTGCCTCCATCTCTCGGTCTGCTGTTTTTTGAGTAATGAAAATGCTTTCCTGCGCCTTGTACGCCTCTGTGACCGCTGGATCACTGTTATTGCGCATTTTTAATCCGCTTCTTAGTGTTGCAGTTTTTACGGTATCTGCCGCTCTTTGTATCCCGAGTCCTCCATGGCTTTTCTCTGAATATAGTATCCCATTCGTCGTTGACGCATGGAGATGTAGTTTTTTCTTCTTTATTATTTGTTTAATGCCATGGTCTATGGACTCCAGGTCTTTTATTGGTGACGGATTAACTCCTGACAGTTCGGGTTTAGTCTTTATAATTGTTTGTTCGTTCATTATAGGTTTACATTATTTTGTATTTAATATTACAATTTGTTCTTATATCTAATATTCTTGTCTTTTATTTTCCATACTTCCAATTGCTCGTGCGAAACTTACATGTTACGGTGCCTTGCTGTTTCATTCCGTTATAATTTTTACTTTAATATATATTTGCTCATGCTCGGTTTACGCTTTTTATAATGCTTACTTCTATGGGTTATATTCTTTATTAAATTCCAGCGGGATCCTATGTCTATGACATATGTAGGATATACCTTATCTCTATAGGGTCTAACCTACGCCTTAGCCTAAGACGTCCGAGCGACGTCACACCTCCCTTCCCGGGGGAAAAGAAATACTCCGGATTACTGTCACTGGGGCAGATGCTATTCTGCGTCGGATTCATAGTTCTTTTGAATGTTCTTGTTACGTGTCTTTGGGGGTGTGGGGATCGCTATTTTCGCACTGGGGTTCACTGTAGTGAGTTCCATTTCCACGTCCTCGTCACTGCCACTTGGATTTTACTCCCGTTTGTCCCGAATTATGAAATTAATGTCGTCCATATTGCTGCCATCAGATGGACGGCTCCAGCCGCGTACGCTTGGTGCAGCGTTATCCCGTTTAGGATCGTATTTATTATTAGCTTCATGATTTTTATTATTATAAATATTCCTAGGAATCCTGACGTTATTGTACCTATTTGTGAGAAGCGGTCCCAAATTCTTTTGGCCATTGATTCGGTTAGATGTAGTATGTCATTTTCAGTTAGAAGGTTATGTAGGTTTAGGCTGGCCCTCGCGTTCTTGTCGCCGTTTATTCCCTGGGCGAAGTTATCCAGGACCGATTGTTTTTCCATTGGGAACATAATGTGTTCCCTAAGGTTTCCGATCTCGTCTTCCGAGTATACTCCTCCAGTGGCTAAACAGAGGGGCTCCTCGTAGTGCCAACGGGGTGTTGAGAAAAAGAGTCCGGTACCGGCGGGTGTATTGTCTCGGTTGGCTGCGGCGTTAGTTTGTAGCAGCGGGAATTAATTTTAAACAGTGTAGGGAGTAGTTCATTGTATCGTCTTGCGCTTCCACTGGTAGTAATTATATGGGTCCGGGGTTTCAAAAATGCGGATCGGTTGTTGAAAGTAATTGGTAACTCGTTGAAGCATTCGTTGGTTTTTCTGAACATGACTGTTGTTGGAATGCATTTTATCACGTGAACTGCCTCGCCGGCTGGGATGGCGATGTATCCAGGCTCCTTCATGATAGCCAAGACCACTTCGTCTTGCGCTGGTTGAGCTAGGGCGTTTCTGACTGCCTGGGCTTGCAGTTGACATCGCGCGTCCAGTATGTTCTTGTATAGTTTGAAAATTTGGCCGTGTATGTCTTTCTATATATATGAATTTAGAGTTACGTAAGTGAAAATGTCTAAGTTGTTGGTGGCTGGTCTGTTACATTTTTGAGAAAGGCTGCTTCGCGCTTCTGAGATGTAGAGTTTAGGGTGCTCCGTTTTGATCAGTTGGTGCCTGCAAAATGATGTCTCTTTCGTTCGGGCCAACGCGAATGTTATCTCCTTAGTGGTAACTGTGTATATGGTGAGATGGCCAGGTGAGGTGATTACTGATGCCTTCCCTTCGTATAAGACGTTGTAGCTGCTTAAAACTGCACTGATCTTCCGGGGCTGGGCTCTAGAAGGAGTGCCCGTTTTCGGGGTCCAAACAGCTTCCTCGGTGGAGGTCGCAGCGCTGACCCGATCGTAAGATGACCTCGTTTTTCCGGAGGTTTACGTCGGCGAAGTAGTTTTGAATTGAAATTTTTATGAGCGCCTGGATCACCACGTTGGTCCAGGTACCGTAGGGATCGCTGTACGTGGTTCCACTACAGGCTCCGTCGTATTTTAGGCTTCCGGCTATGATTATACCGCGAGTGGTTGTGGAGTTTGGTGGAATTCCGGGCAGGATCGCTGTAGGTGTCAGGTTTAATATTCCCGAGTTCGTTAGAATCTGGCAGGTATCCCGGGTTGTTAAGGGGTATTGTTCACGTCCATTTTCTACTACGGATGTGTGTGAATACATTCCGCAGTAGTAGATGGTGCAGTCCACTTCCACCTTGCGCTGTGTTAATTCGGTGTTGCTGAATTGGGACAGTTGCAGCAGCTGTATTCGCTTCTCAGTGGTGTTAGTAGTTTCCGGGGACGTTTCGCACGGGGGCTCGTCGATGACGGAGAAGACGGTGGTGTTGAGTGTCTGGCCTCCACAATCGTATCCGATGAGGGCTTAAGTGGTGGCTGTGGCGATGACAAGATGATCACGAGGGCTGGATCCATCGTTGCACGTGTGGGGTGGGGTTGGGGTCTACGCGGGTGGTGATTCGTCGTTTCCTTCCCGGAAGAGAGGTTTCGCATGCAATAATAACTCTTCCACGAAGCCATCTACTCAACCAAGAACAACGGACAATCAAACCTCAACCCATCAACAGTCATCAAATAGACGCTTCAGTCAAGAACGCAGTTACGCAGATGTTACGAGGGTTCAAACATTCCAACACCCACACAACACAAAGAGGATGAAAACCTCGGTAGCTTATTAAACAATTTCTTGGAAGATCTTAAAATAATGCTCAACCAATTAATGCAGCAAAACAGCATGGTGTTAAACATGCTCTCAATGCTTGTCGACAAGCATAATGCCTAATTTCTTACGCATAAGATTATGGAATGCTAACGGCTTAGCCCCAACACAAGGAGGAATTAAAAATTTTCCTCAGTACTAACTTAATAGATATATTGCTGGTCAGTGAAAACTCATTTTACTGAAAAAACATATTTTAAAATACCATAGCATCGACTTTATCACACTAATCACCCAGATAATACAGCCCATGCTGGGGCAGCAATTTTAATTAAGGACTCGGTTGCCCATTGTCTATTAAGAAACTATTCAAAAGATTGCATGCAAGCTACATCTATCATGGTAGTAACCCAACGTGAAACTTGGTAACTTCAGCAGTCTATTGTCCGCCCAAAGATAATTTAGAGAAAGAAAATTTTGAGGATTTCTTTAGTACCATTGGCTTCCAAATTCATATTAGGTGGTGACTTCAACAGCAAAAACACATTATGCGGTTCTCGGCTATCCACTGCCAAAGGAGAGGAATTAGCTAAATTGCTACACGAAAAGAAATACGCATTTCTATCCTCTGGGATTTTAACTTACTGGCCTACTGATTGCACGAAGACACCTGACCACCTTGATTTTTTCATCTCTTCATTCATTGCTCAATGCTATATGGACATAGAATCAAGCCACGACTTATCGTCTGATCACTCACCTATAGTTAGTACTGCAGTAATTAAAAAGAAAACTGCTCCCAAGTTGCACAATTCTAAAACTGACTGGGATACATTTAGGGACAGCATTACTGAGAATGTTAATTTAAACATAAGACTAAAAAATCCGGAAGAACTTGAGGTAGCCACCATTAATTTCATTTCGCTAATTCAGCATGCAGCCAAAATAGTCACTCCACAGCCTAAACTACAAAATTCAACGCAGTTTACCCCAATAGAAATTAAAAAACTAATAATTGACAAAAGAGGAGCAAGGGCGAAATGGCAGCGATACCGCTCTCCTACAGATAAGACGATATATAATCGAATAAGCAACACACTTAAAGGCAAACTAAAGGAATTACGTGATAATTCGTTTCAAAATTACATTGTAAACCTCAGTCGTTATGACAATTCTATATGGCGTGTAGCTATTTCAGCTCTAAAACCGATCGAATCAAATCATCCGATTCGTATACAATCTACTCCTCCTGGTCCATGGGCTAAGAGGAGCAAAGAAAAGGCGAATCTATTTGCTAAGCACCTTGAGGATGTATTCTCTCCGAATAGCATTCATCCCGATCAAGATATTGTGGATTGCTTAAATGCTGGACTTACGAACTCTGCTAATTCGAGTTCAATTAGACTCGTCTCGACTAACGAAGTTAAAAAAGAAATCTCTAAGCTGAATAACAAGAAGAAATCTCTTGGCTCGGACCTAATAACTGCAACAATTTTTAAAGAATTACCTAAAAAAGGTATAGTAGTGCTAACCTACATTTTCAATGCTGTCTTCAGATTAAACTATTGGCCTAAATCGCTTAAAGCAACTGAAATTATGTTATTCTCGAAGCCGGGGAAAGACCCTAGCGACGTCTCCTCTTATAGACCAATAAGCCTATTACCTGTCATTTCCAAAGTACTAGAGAGACTTCTGTTCCAAAGAATTACGCCTTATTTAAATTTTATCCCGAATCATCAATTTGGCTTCCGGCGTCAGCACTCTACGATTCAACAATGTCATAGAGTCGTTAGTACAATAAATCACTGGAAGATAAAAAATATTGTTCGGCAGTTTTCCTGGACGTAAAACAAGCCTTCGATAAGGTATGGCATGATGGACTACTGTATAAAATAAAGAATCTCCTTCCTAGCTTCTACCACCTTCTCACCTCATATTTGCAAGATCGTTTTTTTTGTTTTAGGAGTGAGGGGAAATGTAGAAGTCTGCACAAACAACTACCCACTAAAACCACCTCTCTGTATTGTACCTGAATAGCTTCAGGTAGCACAGCATAAGCTGATGACGGATCCAGCGTTTACGTCACCGTGCGGCGCCTCATGCTAGTCCAGCGGTTATGTTGACTGCCACGCGCATTTTACGTGGATTGCCCATGGCGCCAACACGAATATTAAGATAAGTTGTATAATCGCGTTTAATGTAGTTTTCGCGGTGGGGGTCACCGGTGACACCCGAGGCGCTGTAGACCACTTTTGCCATTACCAATTGCTTGAAAAGCAACTCGAAAAAATATTTCAATTTTTGATTTTAGGATGAAGTTAACGATGTATTTAGTGAAATGTTCCGATGACGAAGATTGCATTTCATCGAGCAATTATGTACAGAAAAAACGTCGTCACGAATTTAAAGAAACCTGGAAGTATGGGAAATGTAAGGCGATTTTGCAAAGTGTGCCATGAAAATAATTCAAATCAACTAGGAAGGATGAGAGCAAAGAATTGCATTAAAAAAGTGACGACATATTGTGCCGACTGTTTTAGTTCACCTTTTCTTTGTATAAATAAAATTATTTTTGCATGTTCTGTATGGCATTCATTTCTTCGAACCATTGTAGTAACAATGGTACTATTTAAAAACTTATCAGTATCGATATTTATTACAAATGGTCGCGTCGTCGGTCACCGGTGGCTCCCAGGGCACTGTAGCAAAGTCGAGTGCCGACCAGTGGTGGTGACCCCCCATAGCAGTCACCGTGTTAAAAAAGCCTCGAAAGTCATATCTGTCGCTAACTCTATATGGACAGCCTTAGTAGCAAGAGATTTGAACATACATAGATATGATTTTAATGTCACCTTTGTCCGTGATTTTTCTCTAATATACAGTGGGCCAGCGTAGTCTACACCGCAATTAGCGAATGGTCGTGCTGGACGAGTACGTGCAGCAGGAGGTTGCCCATTATGTAGCCGAGGTTCAATGGTTTAACCTTAAAGCACATTACACAACGCTTAATGACTTGTTTCACGCACCTTCTACCTGATAGTCGCCAATATCGTTTCCGTAGTGAATACAAAGTGGCTTAACAGCCTGCGTGGAGGAGCCTCAAGTGTTCGTTTGAAATGAGCATTACTGTTAATTTATGTTTTGTCGGCAAAATGCTCGTGTTTTTAACAACCCAGAGAGGACTAGACCAAGGGCTATTTGAGGGTTTAATTATACCATGTTTCAACAATTTCTCGATTTCTTTGTTTACTTCATTCTTGTGAATTTGAGAATAGCGATAAGTTTTTGTTCGAATCGTAGTTTCATCGGTAACAGGAATTGTATGAAAGGTTGCCGTGGTTCGCGATAATAAATCTGTTGGAAGATGAAATATGTCACTAAATTCTTTGCAAACATTTTTTACGGCTTGATATTCCTCTATATTTAAATGGTTAAGTCGAAGGTTCTCATTTAACGCGTGAAATCTTTGTTTTCTATCATTCTGTGTCTGATGTGCAGCAAGACTATAACAATTATTTAGGATCGGTTCTATTAATAGTTGAAGAATTGGAATTGTTCGTGGCTTTAATGATGTACTAACGATCGTAACGAAGCCTCTATCTTCGTTAGAAACTTTAATCATTACGTAAAAAATTAGAAGTGAATTGTCTTCGTTTAATTGTCGCCATGATATTATGCCTTCCTTTAAATGGTGAAGATTTATTAATTTTATGGGGACTACTGTTTCCGTCTGTGGATGGATTCGTATAGTGGAAACAGATTTCTGAGGTGTATTGCGACAGAGGGGATTTGAAATGGTATGGACTCGAATGCAATACTGGAGCTTGGATAATCAATCTTGGCTATATGGACACGAAAGAAGTCATCAAAAATAGTCCATCAAAAGTAATGTTAGTATGAGCGTTAAGCACTCGAAAATTTCCAGTAATTATTTTATTACAAATTTTTAACTCGATTTGTTTCGTCTAATATTTTGAATTGGTATATCGGATGTGATGCCGTTCAATGCAGTAGAATTATTAGTATTAAGATGATAATCACAAATGCTAGATGCATTTATCAACGAAAGAGTTGCTCCGATGTCGATTAAAAATTTTAATACTTTATCCTCGATGTTAGAATTTGTTGACTCAAATGATACATAAAGTTGATCGTTACAAACGAGTAGGGTATTAAACGAGTTTATGATAGTCTCATTGAACTGAATTCTATCAGCGTTTCCACTATCGAAATCGGAAGATTTGGTCATTGTTACAACATTAAAAAAATTTGAAGACTGAGGGCTATTACGTGCAGTGGTATTTGCAGTAGAGGTACCAGGGGTGTTCAAATTTGAAAAGATTTGATTTTGCGGACGATTCATATTAGAATTTGGGGTTCGATAGTAATTACTTGCGGAATTTGAATTTTGTTGATAAATATGCTTCATGTTACGATTTTATTGATAGTAATTTGTGGAATTCGATTATTGCCTTGAATTATTATTTTGACGGTTTTTACATTCCTCTATAACATAACCAAAATTTTTACA